GAGGGGGAGGGGGAGGGGGAGCGGCCAGAAGCACGCCTACATATGAAAAAGTAAAGTTTTTCGCACGCACGTGTTCGGCGATATCAGTAGCAGCATACAGAACACCGATCAGTTTTTCATCAGGGGGAGGGCGGGAGGGCGTGAGGGCGGGAGGGAGCACATGCACGGAAACCAGATAAATGAGCTGCCTGCCGGAAGGCGGGAAGGCGGGAGGGCGGCCTAAGAGGTCCGAAATTGCCCCTGGTGAGTCTGAAGTGATGATGTAGACATCGACCTGTGAAAGGGCGGGACGGCGGGAGGGGCGGAAGAGTAAGTTGACGGGGCGCAAGACAGGGGCGTTCTTCAATTGCCGTACAAGAGCTGCTCGCACCTCGAGGGGGGACGGACTGTAGCAGGGGGTGGGGGTGGGGGGGAACAGCAAAGGACTGACGACAGCGGTTGCGGCGAGCTGGGCGGCGGGAGGAGGCTCAACTTTGGAGGGAGGGGCCAAAAACACGGCGACCTTGGCCATTGTTCCCCTTTTTCACCTTGTACGGTAGTACGGCATATATGTTTAATCCTGTCTCTTTTCCTCTAAAAGAGACAGGTCCAGGTGTACCGATATACATACATACCGATGCACCTACCGCATGTCCTTGGACGAGTACAGGTCCTCCGGGAAGTACTCCGGGATGAGGGTCATGACGGAGGAGAGGGGCGGACGAGCTCGCTTGGTTCCGGAGCTGGCGCCGGCAGTAGCGGTGGTGCTGGTGCTGGTGGCTTCTTTGGCCTGTGCTGCTGCTACCTTGTACGGATCAAAACCCTCGTTCAACACGCCCGTTTCTGCAGGGCGGGACCCAAGCCACGGTGGGGAATATGTATGTATGTATGTATGTATGTATGTATATGTACATCTGTATGTATGTATGTGTGTATGTATGTATGTAGGCGGTAGGGGGAACCAGGCGCTCCTTCATCGTTGTGGTGATGGACTACATCGAGGGGTAGAGGGGCGGAGGGGCAGAGGGGTAGAGGGGTAGAGGGGTAGAGGGGCAGAGGGGTAGAGGGGCAGAGGGGTAGAGGGGCAGAGGGGTAGAGGGGTAGAGGGGTAGAGGGGCAGAGGGGTAGAGGGGCAGAGGGGTAGAGGGACACGGGGGTAGAGGGCAGAGGGGTAGAGGGACACGGGGGCGGGTATCACGTGCCCTCGGTCGAGCTGTATTCGCGGAGTGGGGGGAATAGCAAAACTTTATTCCAGCTTCACGTCAGCCGTTTTTTATTTCGTTTTCGCTGCCTCTACACCTACCTTTACTTCTTTACGGCTTGGCATTACTGCTTTTCTTCCGCGCTATTTTAAGACTTGGCCGCTAGGTAGGTAGTTTTCCGACATCATCATCACTACAGCATCCCAAGATCGTCGCCGCCTTCAAGAACGCCTTTTGGTCAGTTCTACGTCTGGTACACTCTTGCCCTGGCAGCAGCTTCACCTTTTCACGTGGTTCGTCTTTCCCCCCTCTCCTCACGCCGCTAGGGGAGAGAGTGTCGGCGGTAACCGTTACCGTTGGGGAGTTTACGGTTAGATGGCCCTTGCCAGCGTCCCAGGCCCGGATTAATATATAAGAGAAGCCCGCATGTACATACACACAAACACATGCGCACGCGTCAAAACACACACACGCGCGCACAGAGCGATGCACACGCACCTTGATGGACCTTCGGCACCTCCAAAAAGTACGGCGACGCTTTCGACCGATGCGTCAGTTCAAACCGGCGAAGCTGACCAGCAGTTGTTTTTTTAGGGTTGCGTGCGTGTGTGCGTGCGTGTTTTGGGAAGAGAGGAATTTAGGGTTATTAAAATTGTCGTAATCGTGCCGTACACTTTCATCGGCAGAACGATGCCAAAACATTAGCGGAATCAACAAGCACTGCCGTCGCGATGGTGGCCAGGTCAACTGCGGGCAAGAAGGCATCTAGAAGAGCATGGGGCGAAAAACACCTCCCCTCCACGTTCCTGTGTCGTACTTGAATCCCAAAGGGGATGAACTCCCCTGCGGGGAAGAGGGGGTTCCCCTTCAGGGGGAGACGAAGTTGGATCTCAAACCCCGAACCCCTCAACCCCCACGCCCCCAGATCGGGCCCCATCCCGTTCCCCCCCTCCGCCCAGCAACCCACACCTCTACACAGCTCAGCACTCTGTGCCTGTCCGTGCCCTATCCCAGCGCGTCAGTGCACCGCTAGAGCATCGTGAACCCCTACGCGCCCGTGACCTATCATCACCATGATATACTCCTCAGCCCCAAACACCGACAACCACCCCAACCGTTCGCCCCAACCCACACCCTCCCAACCAAAACCCCTTGTTCGCAACTCTTCCCCCCCCCCGAGCTCCCCCCCCCTCT